TTTCTTTTGTTTTTTGGGCAGCTGACTGGTAAGGGAACCCAAACCCTCAACCTTAGTATTATAGCCCATCATGCAACCAGCTGAACTAATTGGCCAGCCAATACTGTATTTTTATTAACTAAATCTGGCAACCCTACCTGTTAATATCTTGGAAACCCATTTCTCTTTCTATCCATGAAATTATTACTGATCTAGTTGCTGTGCTTCCTGCCTGTACCAACATCCTCCTGACTTATGGTGAAATGGTTAATCAAGTAAATGTTATGTATGTTTTACCACAGTAAAGAAAGACATGTACAAAGATGTTCTTATAATAGTCAAATTCTTTAAGTAAACTCAGTTGGATTTACTCAATAGTGATTGCATCTGCTTTTTTTCATCAATATGGCCTACTGTTGCAGTGGTGCTATAAAAATCATTAACAAAATAAAAACTCAGATCAAAAAAGAAATCATAGTAAAAATTAGCAAGCACTTAGAACTGAATGATAATGGGTATACTACATATTGAAACTCATGGGATGGCACTTGTCAAACTCATCAAATGTACATTTAATATTTGTGTATTTCATTGCATATAAACTTTACCTTAAAAATAACTACAAATACTGAAATCTGACAGCATTGATCAAGAAAAAAAGAGAGAGGGCCCAAATAAACAATCTTAGAATGAAAATGGGGATACAGATAAGTTACACTCAGGGAACTAGCCCTTCCAGTACCTTTGTGTGAGTTAGGAAAAAGTACCTCTCTGGGTGGTTGAAGCTCTAAGCCTAGGTTCATTGGAAAGTTGAGTACAGGCTGATCCCATTCATTTATTGTCCAGATTATCTTGTGCAGTAAACAACCTGCACAGCTGTATTGGCAGCCTTGTATCAGCATAGTTTAAAAACTCATGAGATAATGTGAACAACTTTGTGCCAATTAATTTGAAAACTTGAACAAATGATTAATTTCCTTGAAAAGTATAATTTTCCCAACTATATCAAAGAGAAATAGACAGTTTGAATAAACCTATAACGATTAAAGAAATCAAATCAGTAGTTACAAAATCTACTTATAAAAAGTGTGGAGTTAATTTTTCCCCTATGGTCTAGCATAATTAAAAACCATTAGAATCATCTGTTTGCTAAAAGATAGATATAACACAGCTGTGAAACCATCTGGTTCTGATGCCTTCTTAAAGGGTAAATCTGTAATCATCTTCCTGATCCTTTTTATGGTGATTGGTCTTTTCAAGTTTCTTATTTATTCATAAGTCAATTTTGGTAATTTTTTTTCTTGGAGAATATCCATTTCCACTAGTTTTTCAAATGTGTTGCCATAGAGTTGCATATAATTCTTTCAATCTCTTTTGTGTCTAAGAATGTGTCTCCTTTCTCATTCCTAACCTTGATGTTTTTGCTCACTTTTTCTCTAACCAGGATCATGAAATGTTGATCTATTTTATTGGTCTTTTCAAAGAATTAGCTTTTGGGACGGCCTGTGGCTCACTCGGGAGAGTGCGGTGCTGATAACACCAAGGCCACAGGTTCGGATCCTATATACGGATGGCCGGTTCGCTCACTGGCTGAGCGTGGTGCTGACAACACCAAGTCAAGGGTTGAGATCCCCTTACCGGTCATCTTTTAAAAAAAAAAAAGAAAAGAATTAGCTTTTGAATTTATTTTTTTCCTTTCTACTATTCTTTTTGTTTTCCAATTCATTATTTTCAGTTTTTACCTATATTATTTCTCTCTTCCTTAGGTTTATTTTGTCATTCTTTTCCTACTTTAAAATGGGCAATGAATTGTTTTTTTGAAAAATGTTCTTTCACAGAACATTCAACTGAAAGCATTTAAGGCCATACAATACCTTTTTCTATCTGCTTTAGGATAGTATATACAATACTCTCTTTTTTCATTGCTTTCTAGATAGTTTATCATTTCAGATTTTTAAAACTTGCAAATAAAATTATTATTAAATTAGAGAGAACCAAACACCTTAATTCTAAGTAAAGTTATTCTGTAGACATGGTTTCTTTACAAAACAAGACACATTAATCACTCCTAATTTTAGAGCTTCCTCAAAGTAATTAATTTGATTTACACACATACACACTCATTAGACCTAAGTCTGTCTTCTCAGAAGATTTGTTGGAAAATAGCAACATAAAAATAACTGTGTAAATGGAAAATATGGGCCTGAAGGGTTTCAGCCTTCCAATAACACAGATGGTTGTTCTAGAAAAACTCCAATAAAAAGTTTTATTCTGTGATTTGAATAAATCTTAATTTAAGACTATAAATGTAAAGATTACTGAGCTAATCTTAACACACTTGGTATCCAGGCTAATAATAGAAAAGTACTGCCTAAGGCTATCCCTGTTTCCTATTAATTATCATTTTAATTTTTATTTCCTCTTGATCTAAAGACAATGTAGGGATATGCTCTTTTTTCTTTTTTCCTTTGTATATTTTGCATACTTTTATTTTGAAAAGGTACAAACTGTAGAGCTTTTTGTTGTTGTTGAATGTTTTGAGAGTAAATTGCTACCTGTTGGTCTATTGCTCCTGAGTATTTTAGTATGTATTTCTCAAAATAAGGACATTCTCTTACATTAACTCAAATACAATACAAATTAACACTAATACATAACTATCATTTAATACTCAGACCCCATTCAAGAGTCTACAGTTGTCCAGTGTAGCAGACATTGTTAGTTCCTACCTAATTTCCATGTCTTCTTTATGGGTTGAACCGTGTTCCCCAGAGAAAGATATGTTGGAGTCCTAACCCTAGTATGTCAGAATGTGAGCTTATTTGGAGACAAGAAAGCAATAAATGCCACTGGACCATTCACTTTATTTTATTTATTTATTTACTTATATATTCAAAGATGACCGGTAAGGGGATCTTAACCCTTGACTTGGTGTTGTCGGCACCACGCTCTTCCAAGTGACCTAACCGGCCATCCCTATACAGGGATCCGAACTCATGGCCTTGGTGTTATCAGCACCACACTCTCCCAAGTGAGCCATGGGCTGGCCCTGCAAACCTCATTTCTTTCTTTTTTTTTTTTTTTTAATAAAAGATGACTGGTAAGGGGATCTTAACCCTTGACTTGGTGTTGTCAACACCACGCTCACCCAGTGAGCGAACCGGCCATCCCTATGTGGGATCCGAACACGGGGCCTTGGTGTTATCAGCACTGCACTCTCCCGAGTGAGCCACGGGCCGGCCCTGCAAACCTCATTTCTGAGGGACCCAAGCCCTTGGGGTTCCTGCCTATATATGGGGTTGAAGAAGTCTTTCATTAACTTTTAGTTCTGAACACGGTTGTATGATGATACACTTTGGGGGGTCTCCTGTGTCCCTTCTATATACCTCTTGACCCCAGTGTGTAACCACAATCTTATTTTTTCTCAAAAATTAGGATTAATGACTCTAGTCAGCACCATAGCTTCTTTTTCCCCTGTCGATCCCCTGCAGTGAGGATCCTAGAATGGCCAAGTGGCAATCTCACCCCAAACTGTTGTGCCTACTGGTGGAACCTTTCCCACTAGCAGAGCTCAGAGTTGATGAATGATGTTGTAGATACAATAAAGTTTCCCAGAGATGTCCACGTCTTGATCCCCAAAACCTGTGAATGTGTTACATGGCAAGAGGGAATTAAGGTTGCAGATAGAATTAAGGTTGCTAATCAGCTGACCTGAAGATGGAGAGATTATCCTGTATTATCCAGGTGGTTCTGATGTAATCACCAGTGGCTACCTTGTAAAAGAAAGAGGGAGTCAGGAGAGTCAGTGTCAGAGTGATACAGCATGGAAAAGATTCAATCAGCCATTGCTGGCTTTGAAAATAGAAGGGGGCCATGAGCCAAGAAATGTGGGCAGCCTCTAGAAGCTGGAAAAGGCAAGAGAACAGATTCACCCTTAGAGCTTCCAGAAGTATTGCAGCCCTGACAACACATTGATTTTAGCCCAGTGTGACCTATTTCAGATTTCTGACCACCAGACTGGTAAGATAATAAATATGTCTTGTTTTTAGCCACTTAGTCTGTAGTAATTTGTTACAGATACAAGTGTAATTTTAAGAGGCACCACCTCACTTATACACCTCATCCCCAGACTTGTGTATTTTGGATATGAGAGAAATAGCTCCATATTGCTGGTCACTAGTTCAGTGAATATGCCACATTCTGTGGGATAGCACTCTAATCTTACAAGATATTGTCCCCAGCTGGCAAAATAATTAAGACCTCAATAGGCCTATTCTATGAAGCCAGCTGGAATACACAGTAAGACTTAGGAATCCTATGAGAGCTGAATTATATATCCCAACTGCCTTCTTTCTCTGTAAAAGTATTCCCTTGGTCAAAAGCATTGTTGTGTGACATGTCATCTTGAATGCCTTATAGGGCATTTAGTAAGTCTCTGGATGGTGGTGCTGGCAAAAATAAAGCAGAGAAAATGTATAGAAATCCAAAGTAAGTTTCTCCTACAATGAAGACAAGTTGCTTCCCCTTCAACGAGGGAAGGGGTCCAAGGTAGCGGTAGCCAGATCAGTCTTAGTGTGAGAAAGTCCCTGTTGTTGAGCCTTTGCATCGCCCCTGTCAATGGCCCCATAGTCCCTTTGTTCATGACATCATCTCTGGTGTAACTAGAGTGGAGGACTGACGCCATCCACAGAGCATGCCATGTTATCTTTCTGATTGTTGAGAGCCTCTTCTACTAATGAGACACAAAAATTCTCATTATAGTAGATTGGTTTGCTCAACATATATTCTAAACTCCTTCTAGTGTGCCTTTCTGTACTCATCTAAAAAGCTAAAAATTATGTCTCAGACCCCGTTGCAGTTATTGTTCCAGATTCTATTGAGATTTGCCAATCAGTTACAGTTATATTGGACTTGAATGTGAAACTGAATTAACAGTGATGTGGAGAGGGAGAGAGGCAGGATGTGAAATATCCACTTTGCTGCTACGGATCATGGCACAGAAAGTATGGTTCTGTGGTTACCAGTTTGCTGATTTGCTGGTTTCCTGAAGTGGCAGCCATAGCCCTAGAGCCTCCAGAAGTATCACAGCCCCGATGACACCTTGATTTTAGCCCAGAGAGATCCAGTTTGGAATTCTGACTGCCAGAACTGTAAGATGATAAAAAATGTGTTGTTTTTAGCCACCTAGTTCATAATGATTTGTTACAGATACAAGTGTACTTTTAAGAGGTACCCCCTTACTTATACACCTATAGAAAGCATGGTACACATGCTTTAGGAAACACATGTACACCAGAGGGTGGGGAGATTAAAGCACAAAGGCCTTTCATTTCACTGATGTTTCTTGGTGTTCAGTAGTCTTGCATACAAAATGGATAAGTTGCTTTATTTGTGCTACAACAGCAGAATCAGTGAGATCCAGGGGGCAGAGAGTGTTTCTGTAAGCTCCATCTGAAGCTTGTTCCTCTAGGCCTCCCAAATATTGTGTAAACCACTTCATCTCTGGTAATAACTCCCTTTTCTCTTAAACTAGATAGAGTGGTGTCTGTGGTCTTAAACTGAATTAGGACAGATATTGTCACATTTGGGACCCATTATGAGAGGTTCAGCCACATGATGCTTTTGCAAACTTTCTTTCAATTTTACTTCCAATTCCCTAGTCATCTAGACAAACCATTAACCTTTTTCCAAGAATCAGTGCAGATTCTTACCTCAGGCCCTTTCTCCTTCTGGGAAAACTAGACAGATATATGTATTCCTTAAAGTCCTGCCTATCTGCAGTGTCCTCCAGGTTTACTGTTGATTCGGAGCCATAATATCACAGCAGTTAATTTCTTTCTAATGCTAGCATATCAGGTAAAGAGAGCTATAAACTAGTCTTGACTTTCCCCCACCACAGTTAACAGGGCTCATTTCATCAAGTCATGGTGGTGGAAGAAATAGCAATGCAGCAGAAGTAGGGGTGTGGGTACTGGGATTCACTTGTGTCTTCAGTGTCTGCTCTAGCCTCATTCCGCATATATCATTTCTATTTAAGGATGGATCCATACCCAGCTTCATACCTAGGAAGACCAGAAAATAGCCAGCTCATGATGAACAACTTGAACTCCATGATCACACTGTGTTCAAGGCCCAGCAGCAAGCTAAGAGCTGATTCTCAAAGGAAAAATATTTACTTGCCAATATCGTGGTCAAAGGACCTCTGTTGTGATTCTCCTGTCAGGACCTGCCGCAGGATCCATACAGTATCTCACTCTCCACAAACATTTTGCACATCATAAGAACCATAAGGACTAAGTTATACTGCAGTCTAGACCAGCTGGAGAATCTTTTCTTCCTCCGAATCTGTCAAAAGTGGTTTCATTTCAGGTGACCAGGTAAGGAGGTCAGAGCAGTAAACCCAAATATGGTAAACATTGCCTCTGAACTCACCCAAGTGGTGTGACTTTTTTGCTTGTTTAGGTATAGGTAGCACAAATAAAGCAACTTGTCTTTCGCTTTGGAGAGGACACCTGTATGCAAGATTACTAAATGTCAGTGAAGTGGAAGGCCTTTGTATTTCAGTCTCCCCACCCTCTGGTATATATATGTTTCCTAAAGCATGTAGGGTATGCGCTGTTTTATATACTACGTGTCCTACCAACTTGATGTCTTCAGTTCAGTGGGCCAGCAAGATGCCTTGTGGGGGGCCGAGCCCGTGGCACACTCGGCAGAGTGCGGCACTGGGAGCGCAGCAGTGCTCCCGCCGCGGGTTCGGATCCTATATAAGGATGACCGGGGCACTCACAGCATTCACTGGCTGAGCGCAGTGCGGCCGGTCTCAAAAAGGACAAAAAAAAAAAAGATGCCTTGTGGGATGGGTAATATGGTCAAGATCCCTATATACTAAATTGTGGCAGAGTCAGAAAATTTATGTAACCATAAGACAGTATAATAAATGTATATTGTATACTGTATCTGTTGTTTTGTCAATTAAGCCAAAGGAAAAGACTTTGCTGGATCAATGTCTTCTTTGTGTCCCTTCCTTTTCAATAATACTTCCTCAAAATAGATGTAACCACTATTCTCACTTCTAATATTCTTGATTAGGTCTTCCTATTCTTTTTTTTTTTTCCTTTTTGTCTTTTTTACTGACCAGTAACGGGATCGTAACCCTCGGTGTCGCGCCCGCACCGGGGACTGGCAACGGGATCGCAACCCTTGGTGTCGCACCCGCACCGCGCTCAGCCAGTGAGTGGGAACCGGTCTCCACATGGGATCCAAACCCTCGGCGGGAGCGCCGCCGCACTCCCAAGCGGCACACTCTCCAGTGCGCCACCGGGCCGGCCCATAGGTCTTCCTATTCTTAAACTTCATATGCCAACAGTATATGAGCATTACAGTCGCTCCATATCCTTGCCAAATATTGATATCATCAGCTTTTCTTTTTATTGTTAATCTCTCTAGATGTAGTGCTGTTCTAACTGTGTTTTCTTAGATTCTGTATTTGTCTATTTGGCATCTGTATTAGTCTGTTTTTATGTTGCTATAACAGAATAACTGAGACTGGGTAATTTATAAAGAAAAGAGGTTTATTTGGCTTACGATTCTGGGACAGCTGCATCTGGAGTGGGCCTCAGGCTGCTTCTACTCATGGCAGAAAGTGGCAGACAGCTGGCAGTTACACACAGATCACATGGTTAAGAGGAAGTAAGGGAGGGTGGGGGGGAGATGCCAGGGTCCTTTAAACAACCAGCTCTTGAGGGAACTAATAGAGCAAAAACTCACTCACAACCCCACCCCCAGGGTGTTAATCTGTTCATGAGGGATCTGCCCCCATAACCCAGACCACTCCTAACATTGCCAAATTGGGGATCAGTTTTCCACATGAGCTTTGGAGAAGCAACACATCCAAATTCTAACAGCATTTATTAATCACAGGGCCAAACTAATGGCCAAAGTTGTTTATATCACCCCTGGATCCAGCTTTTGCAAGCACGCAAAAATCATGTCACAAACCCTCCAATCAATCCTGAGTTCATGTACCCAACCATCTCCTTACCTAATCTTCATACACCAAGACTATAATTCCCCTGCCCCTAAATCCCTAGGGCCACTGAGCCATGATTGAGCCAAGAGATTAGATCACCACTCCACTGGATGCAAACTTCAAGGGCAGTTGCCAACAAGGTGCCCAGTGATCAGAAAAACAGAAAAGAAAAACTGCCTCAGAAACCAGAGGTGCCAGAGTGGGCTGGCTGGTTAGCTCAGTTGGTTAGAGTGTGGTGTTATAACACCAAGGTCAAGGGTTTGGATCCCCCTACCTGCTAGCCATAAAAAAGAAAAACAAATCAAAGGTGCCAGAGACCATGTAAGAATCTTTCTTCCCATTCACCAGAAGGTTACATAACACTTTCATACTCCCAGAAGACATATTAGAAAGAAGCAAGGAGAGGAGACTATCTAAAATCCAGAGAATATACCTGAAGGAACTGTTTTGCCCCAAAGGGTCTGTTTAAACCAAAAGAGGTGGAGATTCTATTAATTGGCAAGTTTAAGTTACCAACTGAGTAGTAGTATTGGGGTTGTGAGGATTTGATCAGTTATAGAAAATAAACTACATTTTTTGGCACATGTGATTGTGTAATTTTGTAACCATACAACTATAAATATAAATAATTCTTATGTTTTCCTACCTCTAGAGGGAGCTTCTTTCACAATTATTCCCATTCTTTGGTATTAATTTGAATGAGACCAGACTCAATCTCTTCGTGAAAATAAAAAATCTAGCAGAGTTAGGGGTTTTTATGTTTTCCACTATGCCAATCATCCTCTTCTGATTTGAGGAGACAGTATTTATACTTACTGTATCCATATTGTTTCATAACATAGAAATATTGCACACTGTTATTAGGACAACAAATCAAATAAATGATCAGTAAAAAAGTTAATAAGAACTATGTTTATTTTGGAAGTAATTTTCCCAGGACAAGAATCTGACACAACCCCTTTATTCAAATTATACTTCCAAGGAAATATTCATATTAATAGAGAACAGAGGGGCTGGCCCGTGGCTCACTCGGGAGAGTGCGGTGCTGATAACACCAAGGCCACGGGTTCGGATCCCTATATAGGGATGGCCGGTTAGCTCACTGGGTGAGCGTGGTGCTGACAACACCAAGTCAAGGGTTAGGATCCCCTTACCGGTCATCTTTAAAAAAAAAAAAAATAGAGAACAGAGTAAGTTAATAATAATTATGAATAATCACCAAAAAGGAACATATAGCAGAAATCTTCCATATTAACTTCCCCTTTTTACTGACTCTTTTTTCTTTGCCCTGAGATATGCAGAAATCATATCTCAAAAATTATCTGAGTGTGATCTAACTATACAATGGATTACTATTCAGCAACAAAAAGGAATGAAACTCTGATACATGCTGCAGTATGGATGAATCTCCAAAACATTGTGTTGAGTGGAAGAAGTGAGGCATGAGAATCCATGCTGTATGATTCCATCTGTATGAAATTCCAGAAAAAGCACAAATCATATATAATGATAGCAGATCAATAGTTGCATGGAACTGGGGGTAAAAGGAGGGATCGACTATAAAGAAGGGATCGACTATAAAGGGGTATGAAGGGATGGGTAATGGAAATGTTTTACGTATTGATTGTGGTGATAGTTACACAAGCACATACATTTGTCAAAACTCTTTGAACTATACATCTAATTGGTGACTTTTTGTATGTAAATTATACCTCACTAAGTTTACTTATTAAAAACTAACTGAAAAGAAATAGACGAGATTTAAAGACTGATAAAAAATAAAAAATTAAACATCACTGCACCCCCTTTGAATGTCCCCACCTTGAACCATTCCCCATAGCCAAGGGAAAGTAATGCTCTTACTCAGCCTCTCCTAGATCCGGTCTGGGAATGGGGTTGATTCCCAAATTTATGGGCTGAGAGGAGGGGGCTGCCGTGGATGAATGAAAAGAAAATGTACACCAGATTGTAAAAATAGCCATTATACACTGGTTGTGATAAATGCATGTTTCTTTTGTAATTTTGAAAAGT